GCAGCCCGGGATGGACAGGAGGAGGGGGCCAGGGGCGCTCAGCAGCCCGGGATGGACAGGAGGAGGGGGCCAGGGGCGCTCAGCAGCCCGGGATGAACAGGAGGAGGGGACCAGGGGCGCTCAGCAGCCCGGGATGAACAGGAGGAGGGGACCAGGGACGCTCAGCAGCCCAGGATGGACAGGAGGAGGGGGCCAGGGGCACTCAGCAGCCCGGGATGAACAGGAGGAGGGGACCAGGGGCGCTCAGCTTCTCCACCAAATTGTCCTCTGTGTGTGTGTATGTGTGTGTGTGTGTGTGTGTGTGTCAGTCGTGGGGCTTGAACTCTGGGCCTGGCCGCTGTCCCTCAGCTCCTTAGCTCAAGGCTAGCACTCTATCACTTGAGCCACAGAGCCACTTCCAGTTTTCTGGTGGTTCATTGGAGATAAGAGTCTCACAGACTTTCCTGCCCGGGCTGGCTTTGAACCACGATCCTCAGATCTCAGCCTCCTGAGTAGTGAGGATGACAGGCATGAGCCGCGGGCACCTGGCCAAATTGTTCTTTAAGCGAATCACAGAGGGAGGCCAACTGCATCCTTTCCCCGTTAGCAAGCCGACGTCTCTGAGGCTGAGAGTCTACCCCTGAGCTCTGCCATCACGGTTCTTGCCCGGCTCTCCCAGGAGTCTGGGGTGCCGTGGGGCCCCACCACCGCCCAAGCCCACCCAGGCGGGTGGGGCCCGGAGCGGGGGCGCTGAAGTAGCCAGGGAATGTCGGGGAGCCGGCAGTCACAGCCCAGCCATAAAGTAGCTCTTCAAATGTCGCTGGAGGCTGTCTGTAAGGACCATGTAATGAAAAGGCCTGCCCAGCGCGCGAGGATAATATAGTTAATGTATTACTTCTTTTATTATTTTATCATCTTTCATTAATCGCTGGCAGCGCGCCCGCAGGAGTTGGTTCTGTGGAAAGGGCTTTTAGTGAAATGTCTTGAACGAAACGACCACTTAGAACCTGCGAACAAGGTTGAACCAAGGTTCACTCGACTTCCGTAAATCTCGAGGGAGAGGAGGCGCTGGTCCAGAGACAGTGGAGGTGCGCAGCGCCCAGCCTTCCCGCGGCCCCGCTCGGCCCCACACCGGACGCGCAGAGGCAAGACCAAAGAAAGAAGCACCCCTCAAAGAAAGAAGCACCCCTCGCAACCCGAGACCCGCCCCAGCTGGCCAGCCTCCGCTGCCTTTGCCCTACCCACTCAGCTAAAACTGCTCTGACCTCCAGTTCATTACCTAGCGATCGAAGAGTCACAGGTCACTGCTAATAGCTGCAGGCGGTGTGAGTGGGGGTGTGAGTAGGTGTGACCTCAGACAGTGCCTTCCAGACAGGGCCCGAGGCTGCCACGCCCCGGGCCCAGCTGCACCTCAGCCCCTCTGTGGACCGCAGGGAGCCACAGCCCAGGAAGCGTGCTGGGACTGTGCTACACCGCCACTGACAACGCGCCAGCCTGCGCTCCTCCTCCACGCCAGCTGCTCTTCCACATGGTCACCACACACGCCAGCCTGCCCAGGCTGGCTTTGAACTGTGATCCTCAGATCACTCCTGAGCAGCTAGGATGACGGCCGTGAGCCGCCGGCGCCGGCTGAGTGCGGGTTTCTGGATGGCCGCGAGCCGCCGGCGCCGGCTGAGTGCAGGGTTCTGGATGGCCACGAGCCACCGGCGCCGGCTGAGTGCAGGGTTCTGGATGGCCGCGAGCCGCCGGCGCCGGCTGAGTGCGGGTTTCTGGATGGCCGAGTCCTGTGGTTCTGCTCCCTGCCATTCGGAAGGCCGGGGCAAGAGTCCGTGAGAATCTTACCTTCAAGGAATCACAGAAAAGGCCAGGCTCCATTCTTGACTCTCACCCTGCCTAGGCGGATATCCAAAAGCATCGCGTGGCTCCAGAGCATGGGTCTCCTGCTCAGAAGCAGATCGCGGTCCCAGGACAGGATGGACACAAGGTCATCAAGACCCTGTCTCAAACAAGAAGCCAGGCATGGAGGCACCCAGCTGGCCCCCGGCAAAACGATAAGATGCTACCTGAAGAATAGCTAGAGCAAAAGAGGTCGGAGTGTGGCTTGGGTCGTACGGCTCCTGCAGCAAAGCTAAGGCCCTGGATTCAAACCCTGGTTAAAATAATAATAATAATAATAATACTTGTAAGGAGAAAAGGTACTGTATAGAGCAAAACAGGATAAAAGCCAACCCTGGGGTAATTCTGGCCATCAGAGAAGAGAGGAACAGAGATGCACCGCGTCGTACAGCAGAAGGCTTCCCCGGTACTGCAGTGTTGAACTCAGAGGCGCACACTTGCTAAGGAGGGGCTCTTCATGCGGAGTCAGGCCTCTGGGCTGTTTTGCTCACTGTTGGGCGATAGCATCTGTTTCCTGTCTAGGCATAGCCCCCACCGGCCAGACTTCCTAGAAGCGAGGATAGCATCAGGTGGGCGCTGAGAGGAGACTCATGAACTCTTTCCTGCCCTTGAACTGCCATCCCCGCAATCCCAGACTTGCAAATAGATGGGAATACAGGTGTCAGCCACCAGCACTTTGCTGCTATTTTTTCATCTTCTTCCTTTGAAGGTATTTACTTGTTAACCTATTTATTTATTATTTGTAAGACTGGGGTTTGAACCCAGGCCTTTGTGCTTACTAGGAATCAAGCCTCCAGCCTTTGTCTTTTCGTTGTTTTTGAGATACCATTTCCCTCTCTGCCTTGGCAGGTGCCTCGCCCGCAATCCTCCCATTCTCTGCTTCTCTATGCAGCCAGGAGGACAGGACATTTCTGTGTGGAGTCCCAAGTCCCTCAGGTTTGTGTGGCTGACCTGGCCGGAACCTCAGCCCTCCGTCTCCACCACCCACGTGGCTAGAAGTAGGGGGTGGGCCGAGCACCTAGCTCAGAATGGTATCTTTACAGAAGTGACTTATCAATAAGAAAAGGCTATTAAAATAGCATTGATTCAAGGACCTGAATGATACATTTAGAATCTTGGAATGGAAACTTGAAGAACTCTCCTAGAAAAAAGCCTTAAAAGATAGGAATGTAGAGTAGGCTACAAATTAAGAAAATCAGAGGAACAATTCACATGGCCAAAAGCTGGACTAACAGAAATTCCAGAAAAGGAGAAGAGGGAAAACAAATGGTAATGCAGAAGACTTCCTGCTCTAGACTCAAAGAGACTGGCAAAGGACAGCACCCAGGCCAGCAAAAAAGAAAAAAGAAAGAAAGAAAGAGAAAAGCTCAGGAACCGTGCCTAGGCTCTGAATTCACGCCTCAGGACAGAACAAAACAAAAACCCACAAGCCACTTTTTGGGTTGTTGTTGTTTTTTTTTTTCCAGCCCTGAGGCTTGAACCCAGGGCCTGGGCGCTGTCCCGGAGCTTCTTTGCTCAAGGCTAGCGCTCTACCACTTGAGCCACAGCGCCACTTGCAGCTTTTTCTGCGTGAGTGGTGTTGAGGAATGGAACCCAGGCTTCATGCATGCCAGGCAGGCGCTCTGCTGCTGAGCCGCATTCCCAGCCCACAAGCCATTCTTTGAGATACTCATCGGGTTGGTCCATGTGACGAGGCTCACTGCTCCCGGCGGTCCACCACTGAGTCTTCTAGCCACACTGGGGTTGCTTTCCCTGTGTGCCCACGGTGCTGTGTGCAGACGTGGTTGGGTGTCATCTTGACTTTGGTTTGGTACGTGATTGGAGAAAGCTGAAATATATTCAGGAGAGCCAGCAAGCCACTGCAGCGTTCAGGGAGGCTCTGCTGGAGACTGGGGCCAGGGGCACAAGGAGGAAGAGGAGTGGATTCAGGGGAGGACTCGGACCCTGGAGCCCCATGAGGAGGTCTGCCAGTGGGTGATGGAGCCACCTACCGCTTGGGTACCCAGAGGGCGCAGGGATGAGGCCAGACCAGACAAGTTGACTTTGAGTTGTCCCTGTGAGTCCAGGTGGGGGCATTAGGCAGGAAGCCTCGCACGCAGGGCCTGGGCATAGTAATGGGCTTGGGAATCAGATTGGCCACTTGGGAGGACAGAAGGAGACGGGAAAATGGGCTACCTTGGGACAATCCCACAAATGCCAAGGCCACGGGGTCAGCGGGCTGCTGGCAGAGGCACTGGGGAAGTTCTGGCTGAAGACATGGCAGGGGTGTGTGTGCAGGGGATAGGCACAAACGCTGCAACTCGATGATGGGAGGGAGGGTCAGGGTGGACGGCCCATGGACGGGAGGACGCGGACAGGGCATGGAGGGTGGACGGCCCATGGATGGGAGGACATGGACAGGACATGGAGGGTGGACGGCCCATGGACGGGAGGACGCGGACAGGGCATGGAGGGTGGACGGCCCATGGACTGGAGGACGCGGACAGGAAATGGAGGGTGGACGGCCCATGGACTGGAGGACGCGGACAGGAAATGGAGGGTGGACGGCCCATGGACTGGAGGACGCGGACAGGGCATGGAGGGTGGACGGCCCATGGACGTGGAGGACGCGGACAGGAAATGGAGGGTGGACGGCCCATGGACTGGAGGACGCGGACAGGAAATGGAGGGTGGACGGCCCATGGACTGGAGGACGTAGACAGGGCATGGAGGGTGGATGGCAGGTGGACGGGAGGATGCGGACAGGGCATGGAGGGTGGACGGCAGGTGGACTGGAGGACGGGGACAGGACATGGAGGGTGGACGGCCCATGGACTGGAGGACGCGGACAGGGCATGGAGGGTGGACGGCCCATGGACTGGAGGACGCGGACAGGACATGGAGGGTGGATGGCCCATGGACTGGAGGACACGGACAGGAAATGGAGGGTGGACGGCCCATGGACTGGAGGACGCGGACAGGGCATGGAGGGTGGACGGCCCATGGACGGGAGGACGCGGACAGGGCATGGAGGGTGGACGGCCCATGGACGGGAGGACGCGGACAGGAAATGGAGGGTGGACGGCCCATGGACTGGAGGACGCGGACAGGAAATGGAGGGTGGACGGCAGGTGGACGGGAGGACGTGGACAGGAAATGGAGGGTGGACAGCAGGTGGACGGGAGGATGCGGACAGGACATGGAGGGTGGACGGCCCATGGACTGGAGGACGCGGACAGGAAATGGAGGGTGGATGGCCCATGGATGGGAGGACGCGGACAGGGCATGGAAGGTGGACGGCCCATGGACGGGAGGATGCGGACAGGGCATGGAGGGTGGACGGCCCATGGACGGGAGGACGCAGACAGGACATGGAGGGTGGACAGCCCATGGACGGGAGGACGCGGACAGGGCATGGAGGGTGGATGGCCCATGGACAGGAGGACGCGGACAGGGCATGGAGGGTGGATGGCAGGTGGACGGGAGGACGCGGACAGGACATGGAGGGTGGACGGCCCATGGACGGGAGGACGCGGACAGGGCATGGAGGGTGGACAGCCCATGGACGGGAGGACGCGGACAGGGCATGGAGGGTGGACGGCCCATGGACGGGAGGACGTGGACAGGGCATGGAGGGTGGACGGCAGGTGGATGGGAGGACGCGGACAGGACATGGAGGGTGGACGGCCCATGGACGGGAGGACGCGGACAGGGCATGGAGGGTGGATGGCCCATGGACTGGAGGACGCGGACAGGACATGGAGGGTGGACGGCCCATGGACTGGAGGACGCGGACAGGGCATGGAGGGTGGACGGCCCATGGACGGGAGGACGCGGACAGCAAATGGAGGGTGGACGGCCCATGGATGGGAGGACGCGGACAGGGCATGGAGGGTGGACGACCCATGGACGGGAGGACGCGGACAGGGCATGGAGGGTGGACGGCAGGTGGACGGGAGGACATGGACAGGACATGGAGGGTGGACGGCCCATGGACAGGAGGACGGGGACAGGACATGGAGGGTGGACGGCAGGTGGACTGGAGGACGGGGGACAGGGCATGGAGGGTGGACGGCAGGTGGACTGCAGAAGCTAGAGCAGGACCCATCAGAAAGAATGGAACAAACCTGCTCCAAAGTAGAACTCCTTTTCTTCTTCAGCTGTCTAGATCCTGGGTTTGTCATTGCCAGATGGCTTCCTTTCTCCAGCTGCCTCCTGCCAGCCATATTTGTCCTGAGCTGACCCCTGCTCCTGGGGGCAGCCGCGGTGATCTGCGGAGCCCGTTCCCACCTGAGAACGAGTGGACCGCCCGCCCGCCCGCCATGAAGTCTCGTTGGTCTGAGTCTGGTGACCCTGAGGGCTTTCCTTTGCAGATAGATTTGCTCTTCTCCTTCACTGATGGTGTCCTGAGTATCACAGCCACTGTCTCTGTTGGAGACAGCCGTGGGTGAGAGGACCTTGGAGGGCTCCAGACACTGCCCCATGGGCACCTCCAGAGACCGTGGCCTGGAGCCCTGGGGTTTGGGGGAGGTCAGACCCCCAAATCATTTCTTTGTTCTTTGCCTTTGTCTATTTGTCCTCGGTCAACGTGCAGAGGTGT